ACCGGTCATTTGGAGCCAGCCTCAAGTGACACTCAAGAACTGCAGTTTTTGCACCTCCACTTTGTTCCTCTTTAATCTCTTACAGTTGCCTTTTGGTTTTATACAGACAGTTTTGTGATGTAAAGAGGAAATTGTTGTTGGATATTAGTTTTTCAAACATTAGGCATAGCAGCTAGCTGTTTGTTTCCCTCTTTAAACTAATAAGCTAGCTGCCTGTTGGCTCTGTAAATAACGTACATGAGATTGGCATCATATTTGATCTATTCATGCCACTTCAGCATAACAAAACAGCACTAACAATTCAAATACCATCAGTGAAACTCCAGATCTTAATATAAGGTTTAAGACTGTTTGATTTTTTTTTAGAGCGATATTTAGGACAAGATGCTTCAAGCTAAAGAGAGAACACCAAAGAATAGATAAAGTCGAGCCCTGCTACCTTTAAACCACAGAACAGGAAAAATGCTGCCTGAACTCTTCATATAGTCCTAGTTCACATGTTGCACTAAAGTAACTGCAGATGTGAGTGACTTGTCAATGAAGCAGAATTTCAGTGGTTAAAATGGGACGTGATTATTTTTTTTGTTTTAATGACAGCTTTCCCAATTTGCCAAAACAACTCAGATCCTGGCAGCTGGTTTTCTGTTGGAAGAAGGTCTGGATCATTAAAACTGGGATTTCTGAAGTGAGAGAAAGTAAATCCCCTTTACGTCAGCTTTTAGTGAATAAGTTGGGAGCTCAATAGAAATGACCATCTAAGATAAATTCCTGGAGCCTTAAAGTGGGAAGAAGTGGGATTTCTTTGTTACAAATCTATTGTTTGTTTCTTGGCCAAAATTCTTGCCATTGACTTACATATCCATGGATGGTACAGCCAGGTTTTATGAGTTCAGGCTGCAGTGAGATCACAGCATAATACCAGCTCTAATTTTATTTTGGGAATAAACAAGACTAGTTTTGAAAAGTAGGCCTAATAAGCAACACATCTGTGAATTTAACATTGAACTCACATGAACTCACATGTTGACTCAAAAGGAACTTGTTAATTTGTTAATTTTTTGGTATTAAATGGCTATTAGAATGTGTGTTGACATTTTTATAAAGCATGACAAACCTCCAATGGTTTATATCCTATTTTAACTTAGCACCATGTTGGTGGTCTGGGCTTTGCAGATCTTACTTTAGCCTACCACCTACTGGTGGGAAGTTTTACTACTACACAGTGGAAGATATCAGGACAGACAGGACAGGACAGTATTTGTTGTTGTTTTTTTCACTTTTATACACATATCGATAAATTTGCTCTATTGTAGGCTACATAAAGAAAAGAAGACCACATTATTTATCATATTCTACATATTTAAAGAGATATAGCCTACAGTCCAACTAAGATGAAAACACACGTTTGGGAAGAAATTACATCAGTCTTTTACATCAGCTAATGTTATTCATCTTTTTCTTCTAAATGTTATTCAATCAATCGAGGATTATTAACGTATTGTTCGGAAGAATTAAATAATGTACTTTTCGTGTTATTGGCATTTATTTAAACGTGTCTAGGCTATTTATTATTCGTCGATAAAAACCTGTTTGCTTCAATAAAGTTTATTGACAAAACGAGGGAAAAAAAACAAAAAAACTCCATGTCGCCGGATGATGACGTCCCAGTAGTCCCAGTTATGAACGCAATGGCTGCTAATGCTAGCGAGCTTGAGGTTGCAAAGAAAAACTTGACTGATGCAATCGGTGATAATGTCAAGCAGTAAGTTAATTGATAAAAGCTGGCATGCTCTTTTGTTTGTTTTGGTTTATTTGTCTTATTTCTTGGTGTGACGCGGGAATGTTAAAGCCTTGTTGGTCCACTAGCTCGCAATGCAAACTAGCAGCTCGCTATCACTGCGCACAATGTAACAACAATGTATCAACAATGTAACAACAATGTAACAACAATGTATCAACAATGTAACAACAATGTATCAACAAGTCAGTGTTTTTACAATTATTCCGCCTTGATATGTGTCTCTCTCTCTGTTGCACCTCCGAGTTTAAACATCTTCAGACCAAAAGTGATGAATGTTTTAGTCAATAACAAACATTGTGTATCTAATACAACCATGTTGTTTTCCCTCTGTGTCTGTGGTCTCTCCATGCAGTTACTGGGCTAACTTAAAGCTCTGGTTCAAACAGAAGATCAGTAAGGAGGAGTTTGACGTTGAGGCACGTCGTCTGTTGGCGCAGGATAATGGTTAGTATCAAAACAAAGTCACACTTTTTTACTCTTATTTTCTGTGTCCACATCTATATATGCACATGTGTGGTGATAGGGATAGTTACTTCAACATTCTTTATTTTCATTCACCCATTTTTTTATCTCTATTTATCTATTTCTATTTCTATTTTTATCTCTATTTTTTTTTCATCTCTATTTATTTTGTTCACCCCTTGCACTCATCATCACATCTGTAAACTTTTCCTCAATCAACCATACACCATCAAAAAATCTATAAACATTAACTCCCAACAGGAAACCTTTTTTTCTTGTTTGTTTGCATGTCACTCGATTTGTCATTCTATTTCACCGATTCAAAACTAACATTGTTCATTTTGAATTGTGGCCATCTGAAAAAAGTGTTGCTTATTTTTTTATTTCCCTCCCTCTTTCTCTACAGTCCATGTTCACAATGATTTCCTGCTGGCCATTCTCACACGCTGCCAGATCATTGTCTCCACACCAGGTATGTTTCGATTCAATTCTTTGTATACTCTGTTTATTAGATGTGGGGAAAAAAATCGATTTATGTAAAAAAAAAATCTAGTTTCTTCTCTTCTAAGATTTGAAATCGATTCATAACTTCAAAAAAATCGATTTATATATAATTTTAGGTTTTTTATTTTTGGGGGTAATCAGTGCTAATGCTAGATCTTTAACTCAGTGGAATGCCAAATGGAGCAACAATAAATTGAGCCGGTCTCGCCGATGACTGGAGTAGATCCTGAAGTATGTATTAACTCATAAATAGAGTTTGAATCCATTGATCAATGAATCCAGAATCGTTCCCCAAGAATCGAAATCAAATCATGAGACACCCAAAGATTCTCAGCTCTACTTTTTATGGCTTTTTATGCCTTTTATTTAGAGCTAGTTCAGTGGATAGTCAGAAATCAGGGAGAGAGAGAGAGTGGGAGTGACATGCAAGAAAGGAGCTACAGGTCAGACCCGAACCCGGCCCGTCTGAAGGGAGGACCACAAACTCAACACATGGGTTGCGCGCATTAACTACTTGACTACTGGCGCCCTGCAATTGAGTGAACATCTATCTGTGTAGTACAAACTTACGTATGATTGGTCAAATCTGAAGTAAAAAGAATAATGGACTCTAGCTTCCAGAAGTAAGAATACACTCAACGTTTGTGGGCGGCTGTGGTCCGACGCCACCCTAGCATGTGAACTTGTACTGTCATATTCTGTATTATTTCATTTATTTAGCTGTGCTTGTTTTTTATGTTTATGTTATTATCTAACGTATCGTGCAGTGTATGTTTCACAGACTTTACAGAGAGGACAAAGTCCATCAAATGTGTTAACAGAATTTTTTGGCAAAGGATGAAACGCATTTATAATTTTGATCAAATGCTCCATCGCCTGTGAAGTGTATAACGTGACAAAGGGGAAACTTTGGTTTTCAATGGCAACTTTTTTTTTAAATTATTTCTTTGATAAATCTTCATGATGTGTTCCTTTGCTGTCCACTAGAGGGCACTGGTCCATTACAGTGGCAAGGCGGCTCTGCTTCAAAGCCTGGCAAACCAAAAGGAAAGAAAAAATGTTCCTCCAGACAGAAATTTGATGTAAGTACTCACACTCTTTGTTCTTACTGGGTATTTTACGGTCTGCTGACATTTTTAGTTACATTTCCAAATAATGGCTGACTGCTGATACTTTTAAAGTTCAGTGGGATCTACTGAATTACCAGATGCTGGAACAAGTGATTGTGCATCTTGTTTGGTCCCTCAGCATCGTTTTCAGCCTCAGAACCCTCTGAGCGCTGCACAGCCTTTCAGCCCTCGAGAAATGGGAGGAGGAGGAGGAGCAGGAGCAGGAGGAGGAGGAGGAGGAGGAGGAGTTGGTGAGGAGGAGGAGCTGCGTCTCAGTGCCCACACTCTGCTGCTGCCCACACGGGGTCAGCTGGAGGCTCGCATGATGGTGACGGCCTTTGAGCTGGGTCTGGATAACATCACAGACGACTCTGTCAGCACCATGATCCATGCTGTTGAGGTTTGTTTACACAGTCCACCAGCAGCAGTGTGTAGAGTCGACTCTATGAACACAAGCCCACATCTCACATTACAAATGAGCCTTTATATGCTCTGTATGGAATAAGATGCACACTGTCAGAGAGTCAGAGTATAAATGATTGTTGTCTGTCAATTCACATTGTGACACACAGGAAGACATGCACGCACACGCAGTGCTGCGCTCCCCTGCTGGCTCCACTTAAACCGCCTTTGTAACGCCTCTTGTTACCAACTCCTAAGGCGGTACAGACACATTACGCCTCCGCAACATTCAGATTGAAGGCGAAACATAATCGACAGTGTTAATACGGCTAAAGACGCATTCATAAAAGATATTGATAAAGGAAAACACATTTTGTGGGTTTACATCCTTCAAACATGTTTACTGCAATAAAAAAGACAACCAACAGCTGGTCAATGGACTTAAACTTTTCTAGCAATTTTCTAGATTAGACAACTCTAAGCCCTTTTACACCCCCAGATCACACCTAGCCATTCACACACTGATGGTAGAGGTTTCTTTTTGAAGTGTCAATTAGTATTAACCAATCCCATTCATACGCTGCCGAAAAGCAGCAAATTGGGGTTAAGTGTCCAGAGACACATTGGACATGTGGCTGCAGGACCTGGGGATCGAACCCCGATCTTCAGCCACAAACGTTAAATGTATTCTTACTTCTGGAATCTAGCGTTCATTATTAATTTTACGTTCGATTTGATCTATCATATGAGTGTTTACTACACAGATAGATGAAATACATTCAATTTAGGGGCGTCGATAGCCATGTGTGTAGGCTGTGGTCCACCAGGCGGGCAGCCTGGGTTCTGGTTTGACCTCTGGCTCCTTTCCTGCATGTCATTTCCCTCTCTCTCTCTCTCTCTCTCTCTCTCTCTCTCTCTCTCTCTCTCTCCTCTCTCTCCCTCTCTCTCATTGATTTCTGACTCTATCCACTGTCCCATCTGTAAAATAAAAGCATAAAAAAGCCAAAAAATACTCCTTTTAAAAAGAGAAGAAAGAAATTCATTCAATTCTAATTGATAATGTCCCTTTAAAAATGAATAGTTTTATAACCAAATGCAGTGTGCTTAAGTCTTTAGAAGCAGCATCCATACAAAAGTTAAAAATGAATTTGGAGATTTATTTTGTACCCTTCTCTAAAGCTTCTGCAGACAAGTGTGTAACTGCCAATCTACCATCATATCTGCTTGTTGATGTGCGCTCTCTGTCAACACTCATTGTCTACGAGCAGAGACTGCTAGAGGAGAAACCAAAGAAGCTAGCCGCCAAGACACTGTCCTGAACTTGTCCTTCACCTGTAGGCAGGTTTAATCTGCTACTACAAGTACTCGATTTTCCAAAGTTGCCGACGTCATCATTAAATCTGACTGACAGCTGAGTTGACTCAGGAGATCGGGGTTGGTTTTACTTCCTGCTCTTGATTCATTCCAGCATCACCTTAAAGACGTCCTGACGGCCGTCATCATGAGGAGGAAGGCCTATCGCTTAAGAGATGGTCATTTCCCTTATGCCTTTGGCAATGACGTCACGCCGCAGCCTTATCTGAAGAACAGCCTGGCTGCGTACCACAGTGTCACTGAATGGTAGGAACAACTGCATTTGCTCTCGCTAGCTGATACACGTTATGCAGAGTTGTTAACCTGTTGATAATGTGTACAGTTAGCCATTGATTACACTGCTATAATTAGAGAGTAGTAGTGATACTGATTACACTTTCACTCCATATTGATTTAACTTTCTTTTACTTTCAGTCCCCCTCCCAGCGCGTCCCTCCCCGCCGGCCCACCTCCTCAGGTGTCACCTGATGAGGCCGAGCAACAAGCTGTTCACTTACTAGCTTGTTCTGCGGACATGCTCCCTGCGCCCCTCCCTCCGATCAGCATGTTTGATCTTCTGGAAGCTTTACAGGTAAGAAAGTTGTGCTCATGTAGTTCCCTGTTGTCAGAACCTTATCTAACCTTTCCACCCACCAGTGCTCTGTTACTTATCTGGTCACTGTGGCTGCAGGCTTGGCAAGTTAGCCAAGCCCCGTATGTCTCGCACTGAAGTGTTTGAAAACACACCAAATGAAACGATGAATTCTTGACATTTCATGTGGTAAGAAAATACAGATATTAAAAAATAAAGGGGTCCTGTGGCTCTCACGAGCATTACTCGATTAACTACATTGTGTTACAGTATTCAAATTTGGTGAACTTGGTCGTAAACTCCTCGTAAAAGGTCCTTTCATTTTGTACCTTGTTATCAGCTGTATGCGATGATTTTAAGATGTTTTCTGTACTAGCATGACACTCAAGATTCATCCTCATCGTTGGTGTGTTTGATAAAAGGAACCAGTCAGTGGATTATCTGTGTCCTATAATCTGAACAAATTTGCTCTTTTCTTTAGCAATGATATAAAAATGTGTATCTTGTGTTGATGGTCGGGTAAAGCAAGGTATTTGAGAGGATGACTAAGGTTTAGGTTTAATGTGACAGGTGGTTTTCACATTGTGTTGGGACTTGAGGGGAATCCAATTGATCAAGACTGAAATCATGTCTCCAGCTAGACTCTCTCCCCCCCCCCCCCCCCAGTGGTGGCACGAACGTCCGAACTCCAGTAACAGCTCTGATGATGATGACTACCTGTCCTTACTTGACCACTTCAGTTTATATGTGCTTTAATATCTTTGTGAAATACTTGTCTGACGTAGGTTCACCACAAAGTGATGCCCTCCCACACCATGTACGCTCTGAACATGGAACGCATCCTCGCGAGGCTCTGGCACCCCAGCCATGAAGAATTGGAGCAGGACCACGTACACCGTCAGCGTCTCACTGCCAAAGAGGGCGTCCTCGTCAGCTGAGAACCACTGACACAGGACTGGGTGTGAGATGTGCATATCATCAGGAGTCACACGTAAAAAAAATACACAGGTGGAAAATAATGGTTTCGAAAAACAATATGTTCTATAATCCGCTCCACATAGTATGAAAAAGATAAACATAAGTGGAGTGAGATGAAACAAAACAGCTGGTCAGAGGACACCGAATGGGCAGTTAGCTTCAGCCAATAGATGGCAAAATGTAGCTCTCTGGCTACTTTATTTTTCTTTGTTCTACCAGCCATTTTGGCATTTACCTAATCATCATTTGGAGCTTCATTATAAATATGAAGAGTGTTTAAAGTGAGGCTATATGAGCAACTACAACCATTTGCACCACAACTGTTAGAAAACACCAGGAACATTGAGCCTCTAATCCTGAAAGCTGTTGAGTACATGATCCAGGTCACAATGTATTTCATGTAAGAAAAACATTCCTCAAGAGCCCAAACTGTGACACACAGGTGTGTTCATGTCTCCTAGCTGATAAGTCGTCCCTGCGTCAAAATCATTTCTTTTATCTTTTTTCTCGGGCACACACTGCAGCTGCCTTGACGAAGTACTCTACGTGCAGTATTCAACATATTACTTTGTGCCTACAGTGAAGAACACCCTGCTCATTCATATGTGGTATTACGCAGAGTCCAATTGAAATATTGTAAAAATCGATCCATTGAAGACGCACCATGCGATTTGCCAAACCAGCTCAAGACACACACTTTGTAAGAAATCCCTTTGGATACTTTCGGTATGTGTTTGTTACTTGGTAATATTAAGTTTTAACTATGCGTGGTTTGAAACGTGCAGTGTTGTATTGATAAAAGCAAAATGGCATCTACTAGGATGATTTAGTTCTATTCATAGATCTATTCATATGTTGTTGTTGCTTATTTTTCTGACATTAACAATTATCCCATAATCCTTCACTGCAGGTGGAGGGTCAGAACAGCCAAAAAAAAGCAAGCTGGCTTGCATAATGAAAATGGGGAGTGGCATGTAGTCGGACATCCTCATATTTCTCACATACTAAATGACGTCTATATTTATCGGGACATACTAAAGGCTTTCTGACATGATTATTCAAATGGAAGTGATCACAGCCGTAATGTTAGGGTAGCCTTCATGACGTCATCTCACTCACTGCGCCAAAAAAATATCGACAAAGGCGGTAAATGTCCATCTTTACAGGTCCAGCATGATTTTCAATCAAACTTGTCTACGCAGGATCCTAGAAGAGGTCCAATCAAGCACTAAGTGAAAACACCTGTGTCGTTTTACTGTGGCTGTGTTGGTCTTTAAAATCTGTCCAACAGCTGCATCAAGCCCCTCATGAACTATGCTATAAACTATCTCCCAACGCATTCCTCGAACATTCACTGGTGCTGCTGAAAGTTTATCATGCTATCTGTCAGTGTTGGAGGTCCACAATGTTTGCACACAAGCTGAATTTTGTTTTGTCTCAGTGCACTTGAAGATCTTTGCCACTTTTGCATTTTGTTGATCCACACAATCCAGTCAAGGAGGAACTGTAGATTTTTCTTTCTTTTTTTTTTTTTTTTTTTTAAACAAAGCTTGTTTGTAATTTATAAAACTAACAGTTCGGAAAATAAAGTATTTTTGTACATGTTCACTAGCTGTTTGAATTTATTGTTTCAATCAAAATGCACTACTCCTTACAGTTAAAGGATCATGTAATATTTACATTTTACTTATGTTCTATGGCCAAAATAATGCATTGCATTGTTGCATTTCTTCAGTGCCATACAGGAGACTTCATACACTCAGTCAACACACAACATTGTCTAATTTACCAAATAACACTTGTATCACAGACGTGAAAAAAAGCTGCATTCGCTTTAAATTGTTTAAATATTTCTTCTTTCCCTTAAACAGTTCCCTACAGATAATGAAGAGATTTGCTAATGCCCTTATAGATTTCTTGTAGGAGTCACCAGCTGCAGTGGGAGGACGGTGATTCACTCACTAACACACCGTCCCAGGGCGCTCTCAGGACCGTTCCATATATGGCTGTCTGCGGCTAACTTCCGACAACTCACCGACCAATCAGCGGCCGCGTAGAGTCACCAGCCATTACAGGCGTCCCACACCGCACTGGTGACTCAATATCCCGTCCCCCAGTTCCTTTAATAACAAAACACCTTAGGTACAGCACAGTAAGGCTGCATTAAGTATTTAGAAAAGTACACACACATAACTGCGTGTCCAACATTTTATTTCGTCATATTTACAGTTCTGAAGTGCTCAAAATACAGCGTACAAATATTATTACAAAGTGTTATTTCGGTCTAACAGAGTTATCATAAACTCGTATGAACAAAGGAGTTAAAAAATAAGGCAGGGTTTTTTTTTTTTCAGTAAACGCTACACACACCTGAAAGAGTCTTTGCTTTAAGGTGTTAAACATGGTTTTTTTTGTTTTTGTTTTTTTTA